TTTTCCCATCTCCTGCACCCCCGTAATGGCACGGACAGACTCCACCAGCCAGTAGAACAGAGGGAGTTTATTGCTTCTCCAGGATACAGCACAGCACAGATGTAATCTGGTTACAGGGCAGGTCTAGGATGCCTCAGCCCCCCTTGAGATGGGGGAGCCTGGGCCCCTAAACCCCAGCCTGTTGCCATGGCTGCTTCCTCCATGATACCAGACAGAAACTAACCCTCTTGCAGCCCTGCCCCCCAGCCAGGAGCGGCATTCCACCTTCCTTTGTTTCTCTCCCTGGGGGGTAGCTGGTCGGACAGGTTGAGAGACCCTTGCCTAGTGACTCATCCCCTGTTCTGCTGGGCCGTGCTACAGACAGCAGCCAGTGGGGGTCACCCACAGCCCCAGCATAGCAACCAGCAAGGTACCAACACTACGTCAAACCCTGGGAGACGCAGCCACCGAGCCTCTAGCCCACAGCCCCTCTGTCCTTGTCTGAACCAATAGGCGTCTGTCCCCAATGCCTCCTGTTCTCCGTGTTTGCAACCCCCACCCTGATGCGCCCTAGAGAAGCAGCGTGAAGGGCTAGCGACCCCCCCTTCCGCGGGCGAAAGGCTCACTGGCCAGCCCCTTCGGCTGCCTTCCCTTCGCGGGCTGTCTGCTGGGGACAGCTGAGGTCTGGGCGGAGTCCCAGGGCGGCACGCCCGCCAGTAGTCGGTTACCCTCCCTGCCCTGGCTTGGGCAGCCCGCCGGGGCTGGGAGCGCCATGTGCGAGGGGTTCCGGCTCACGCAGCCAGCGACACCCTGGTCACCTGCCCCCGGTGCCGAAACCAGGGCGAGTTTCTCTGCGCCCAGGCCAGTGCGGCCAGTGACGCCTTCCCACGGGGCCGTTCTGCCCTCCCCCCGCCATGCCCGGAGCTGCAAAGTGCAGCTGAACGTGCGAATGCCGCTGCCTCGTGCTCGCACAGCCGGAGATGGACGCCTGCGGCACATGAGGCCCAGCCAGTGGCGGGGGAGAGACGCAGACACAGCCATTGTACTTCCACCCCGTGCCCAGCGCATCTCACAGGGCTGGGAGGTTAATGGGCCGCTCGGCGGTGTCAGGTCTGTTCCCGCTGTGGCCCTCCCACCAGCCTGGCAGCAAGCGCATGGGCCTGCCAACATCCACGCCAGCATGCCACGGCGCAGAGACGGCACCGGGAGGTTGGTCGCAAGCGGGCGGGCACCTGGGGACCGTCCCCTCGGAACGGCTTCCGGCCACTGCAGCACCCAGAGCAAGGCCTCTGCCCCGAGCGCTGCGTTTCCTGGGCCTCAGCCCTCACGCCCCTGGGCAGAGCGGAGGCGCTTGCAGCAGGCGGCGCGAGGGGGACCCCGAGCTCCACTTCCGTCTCAGAGCCCCGCGGGGAGCAAAAGCCGAAGGCCCGACGACAGAATAGTGCCACGTCCTCGTGTGGCTCCAGCAGCCAGCCTGCAAGAGCTGTCTCCCAGCATGGCCTCCGCGCTCACTGTGCTGTGCAGCCCTGGCAAGGACCGGGCACGGCAGCAGCAGCCACACCACCGAGCAGGAAATGTCGAGGCATTTGAGCTGCTGGCGCCTGGCGC